TTGTGTTTTCTTTTTTATTTTATTTTTATTTTTTTTTATTTATTTTTTCTTATAGCAAATACCCTGTATATAAGTGATTGTAAAATGGAATGTGAAAATGAATAAAATATATATATTTTTTTTAAAAAGGGCCAATCTATAAACTATGATTTGACATCTAACTGCATCATTAATCAAACTATATACTTACTTTTCATCTCAGTTAACTGAGATTCTAAAATCAAGGAGTAGCTTTAAACATTTAGCCATGTATTTACTAGCCAAAAAAAAAAGCAATAACGCATCAAAATGTTATAGCAGAAAAAAGGTTGATTTTCTTTTAAGGTAAGTATGAACATATGAATATTCCTAACCTGTAAAATGATTCCTCCACATTATATCAGCGAAACTCATTGGTGGGCCACTGGGAGGGTAGTGTTTACCTTTAAGAGGTTCATGATCAGTCCTTATCATATCCATTAATGAGTTTTCCAAAGAGTGCAAGTTAAAAGTATCATAGGGCCGATTCCGGTCCTAGGAAAAAAACAAAGCAAAACAAAAAAAGGACTGTTACAAAATTGTCACTAAACAATACAGCCATTTAACACTTATTCCATTCATCACAAATTATTGTAAGATTAGCAAAAATATACAAAGCTCAAGTTAATAATTCTTTTAACAAATGTTAAGAGCAGCAGGGCAAGTAAACAGGAGGACCATACTTATCCTTCACCAGAAATGCAATGTTTTCTAACAAATAAATTATTTTAACATGTTAGCACAAATGTACTTTTTCACTATCTAACTGCATTCTGAATCAAAGGCATTCATATATCCTATTTTCTCACATGCTTAGCATGATCTATTAAAGTGTACAGTGGATAAAAGTTAAACAACTGACATATAAATCATATGATATTGTCAACTGATCTAGAATGGGATGAAGGCGATTACTCCCAATTAAATGAGTTTGCGTCAAGATCCATGTATTTGAATTTCAAGTTTATTGCAACTGTATTTCTCCCTCTTCAAAATCATCAAATGCAATTATAGAGGTTCTTTCAAGCATAAAAACATTTTAGAGGAAGAGAAACAGTGGGATGCAAGAGTTAATTTTTGTGAACGGAATATTGCTTGCAATTTTCTGTATCCAAATCACAGTTTACAGTAAAACCCATTACTTTTAAAAAATATATAATTTAATGCTTCTATGAAGATTATAAGAATAGCGTACGGAAAAAGATACTTTACCAAGATGAATTTTATATTTCAAAGTATGTTCATAAACAGAAATCAAGATACAAAGTAGGCAAGGAAATAAAATAAGCTTAATTTAAAATATAACCTACAAAAAATACCATTTGCACCTAAGGAAAGGCTCTGCCCCTTCTCCTTGCAACATAAGGCAATTATTTTAATCATACTGCTGTTTCTATGAAGATTACAAGAAGTTTAATACTGTACAGAAAGAGATACTTAACCAAAATTAATTTTACATTTCAATGTATGTTGCTAAACAGAAGCCAAGATAAAAGGTAACCAAGTGATGAAATCATCTTTAATTTCAAATGTATCCTGAAAATAATACTGTTTGCATCCAAGGAAAGCTCTACACGTTTAGCTTGCAAAATAAAGCAATTATTTTGATACAAAACCCTTGGGTAGAGTAAAATTGTGCAAACAACTTGGGAGCAGATAAATGCACAGAAGCACAACAGAAGAATAAGCAGTATGCAGCAGCTCTTGAAAATCTTTGCAAAAATATTTTATTTTTTTAGTGCAAGCACAAAGTGTACACATAATTAACATTCAAGGGACATTTATACTTTATTAAAAAATAAATAAAATAAAAAGTTAATAACTTTTGGGGTCCAAATTACTTTCTTTTTGCTAAATTTTCATCTTCCAGTAGAAAAGACAACACTAGGCTCCATTTACCAAATTCAACTTGAAAAAATAAGTATAATTGGAGGAACCATCTGATTTACACAACAATCTACACACATACGCATATAATTATCATTTGAGAGGAATTTATTTCCACAAATTATATTCAAACATATAGCTGATCTGAACTTACTTACTGTTGGAAAGGAATATACATGGAATTATTCCTTTTATCATATTTCCAATACTTGTTCTGTATATTTGCCTATTCCCCACAAATCTGAACTGTCTGATCACGGGAATGTCATTTTTCCTGCATTTAAATTCCCAATTAAAGGAGTGCTGGTGCCACAAAACCCAAGTTTAACAGCAATATCAAAGTACTTGTAGGCAAGTACTCAGTGCTTGCTACTGCTACAAACAGAATAGTTTTTATAGTGATCATTAAAATGCCTAGCAAATGCATGCCAGGATTAAGACGGAGCTTGTTCGTATAAACAAACATTATATACAGATAGCAATAGCAGTAGACTTATATACCGCTTCATAGGGCATATGAAGCTAACTACGTAACTAACTAGAAATGAAGAATGTACAATGGTTTGGATGTGATCTGAAAGCGGTATCCCTGAGTATAAACAAAACACTTATTTGCAGAATCCAATCTGGGATGGTCACAAAGACCAGAGGTTTAGTCTTCTGAGCTTTTGGCCTCGTGCTGAAGTCCATCCTCAAGGAACGTCTCTCTGGCAGAATGTGTTATAATAAATATGGTTATTTTAATAAATCACTTATTTGTGATTCATTAAAATAACCATATTTATTCTCAGGTCTCCATGCATTTAGAAACATTATTTAGAGTTGGACCAAAGCATTGCCCAGCCATGTTAAAAACTGACTAGAAAAATTAAGATTATATTTGCTGATAAAGGTTTAGTCAAGATCCACCATACCAGGACACTTATGGTTGAGGAACAGTTTTTGTGAATGGGAAGCCTCATGGAGGTCCACTGTTTCATGGCTAAAACCAGACTTTTTAGTGCCTCAGCTATACCCAAAGTAGGTGTACAATGCATGTAATGCTAACATGAAACATTGAAGCTACTTTCAGAGAGGTACAAAATTTTCAATAGAAATGCCCTAAAAGAGAAGTTTACATTGTCTGTTTAGAACTTTAAAAGAACTTTAAAAGTTTAAAACTGTAGCAGAAAAATACTTCCTGTGAGTCTCCCAGTCCAGACTTTATATAATATATGGACTATTGCTTGAAATCCAAGCTACACAGTATGTTTTCTCCTGGAAGTGACCAAGTCACCCCTAAAATACTTTGTGATTGTTACAAACAAAATAACGAAGAAAAAAAAGCTAAAACCAAGAGTTTCACCATGAAAGAATGTATCCTTTTAGTATATTTACTAAATATACTATATACATGAATATACAAAAGATAAAATATGAATATATTTTAAACATTCTGTTTGGTAGTTTTCTATTCAACATAATGATAACCTCATTCATAAATCAATATTCTACCAATTAACTTTTTAGTGCCTTCCATAAAATTACAACAGCCAATAATGAAGTTCATTGTTAAAAAGAAATGAATAAAGTTCTATAGGATAAACATTTAATTGTACGAATGGCAAATTCTGCAAACATCACTGCTTAAATTCTACCAGTGAATTAATGCATAATACAATCCCCTTTAACCAACCACCTAATTTAAATTTGCTTGAGCTATTCCTCCCTTGGGAAAGAGGTCAAGATAGCACCAAAGACTGGAAGATCTTCTTCTAATTCTTCTCCTATTCTTGTCATTTCCTCCCATAAAACTGTGAAACAACCAATCTAACCATAGGGATTTACTGGTAACAAATGAGGCTCAATGTGGCTTGTCTTAGAAGAGGAGTATCAAACTCATGGCCTGGAGGCCGGATTCGGCTATGGGGTACTTAGATCTGGCCCGCGAGGCCGCCTTGGAAACAGGGTTTCCAGGGCGCTTCTACCAGGGAAAATGGGCTCCTAAGCTCTGTTTTTGGCTGCCACAGCTTCCTGCAACCCCTCTGCCAGTGAAAACGGAACTTGGGAGGGCTGCACACAGCAGGATGTAGGAGGCTGCGGCAGCTGAAAATGGAGCTTGGGAGCCTGTTTTTGCTGGAAGATTGCTCAAGTGACAACGGGCGCCCCCGACAGGAGTGACATTGAACTGGCCAGACCCACACTGGCCTCCCAAAGTCAAACACAACTCTGATGCAGCCCTCAACGAAATCGAGTTTGACACCCCTGTCTTAGAATATACCATACTAACTCTTTTGCATAATCAATTTTTTTCTACAAGGAGCAATCAGACGCCTCAAGATGTTCCCAGACTATTATGTTTTTTTCTCAGGACACGTTGTTATAACTGGTTGTTGTAACTTCAAAAAACTACTTACCAGATGGTTTTGAAGTTATGATCACTGCAGCATTCCCATGGGCATGTGAACAAAATTGGGGTGTGTATCAATCCACTCGCCCTTATGATGTACTGCAAGGTACTACGTTTATCTTCTCCATCCTCTACAAATGGGTCCCCACAGGCCTTGGGCCTGTTTCCCACCCCACTAGGTCCCATGCCATCCTCACTATTCTCCATCACTGATCAGTCACTTATTTTACTGTAAATATCCTTCTTGAAGTTCTGGAACTTGCAGGAGAACAGGCTGTGGCACCCTAGGCTGCGTGGCTTCATCCCAGAACCAGGTACACTATAGGAGCAGCCAAAACTCATTGCAGGTGCCTCCAGGACAGAGAAATGCCTGTACACTCCAGGATTTGTGCTTAACAATTGGTGATAGATATTTCAAAGGAAATTTCCTAATCACTTTGACCTAGAAGTTGACTTTATAGTTTATCGCCATTCTTTAAAACATTTTTTTTTCTTATCTATGGCAATCTATTAGTAACTAGGGATTACACTTAAAAGTAATCCTCGGTTATTGACTGCCTTTTTTCATCAATGTTCAAAGTTATAATGGTGTAAAAAAAATAGCTTGCATTTATAACAATTGCAGCATGAACACAATTTGTGCGTTTTGCAACTGACAAGCAGTCAATAGAAAGGAGGAAGTAAACTAAAGTACAGTGATGTTCCGCTTAACGATTACAATTGCTTAAATGATCAAATGGGAACTGAAGACAGAAGCCCCTAAGAGTCATACAATTTTCCAGAGGGTTTTTAAACATAAAATGGACACAGAAATTGAATATGTGCAAGTTAAAAGGAAAAAAAATTGGTGCTCTAAATTCACCCCTCTCGTTTTTTTTCTTTGCTTTATTCCTAGGCTAAATGGTCTTCCTAAGGTCCCCTCTTATTAATTAATCTCCTTCGGCAACTGCATCCAAGCTTTACAGCTACCGTACCTTAAAAAGCACAGGAGACCAAGTTAACAGTCTGGTAATAGGTAACTGTACCTCAGCTGATTGAAGAGAAAGAGATTAAGCCAGTGTAATTTCAAGGTCTACTGACTAAAAAAATTGTGCTCATTTATTAAATTTATCAGGCATCTCGACAGAATCTAGATATCAGAGGTAATTAAAGACTCCTTTGTTGGAATATGCTCATATAAACTCTCTGAATAGGGCCTTTAAGAAAACTAACCTTGAAA